TCCTCTTCTTCTCATCTCACGTCTGTTTCTTCTGTATCCTTCTTCTTGTGTATTTTTTTTTTTTGTTTCTTGACATGCTATCAAAGCAGAATTGAACCGATCTTCGCATCTTCCACTTCCCTTCAAAAAAAAAGGGAAATCCTAACCCTTTGGTGTTGATCTCATCAAGGAGTACCTAGTTTTCCTTTTTCGTGGGCGCAATGCCAGTGTGGTGACCTGTAAGTGTTGTGAATGTTTGTTTTGCCAAAATTTCCTCTCCTGGATGTTGAAAGCCGTGAGGAATATTTGCTGAAATGTCTCGAAGTGTATGGCTGAAGCTGTAGGAGGCCTGTTAGGATTCATTCGTGAGTTCTAGCAGATAAAGTTTTGTTCATTAATGCATGAGTGATAAGTATTCTCTCCATAAGTGATTGAAAACTTGTTGGTTGTGTTGTCCTTTACCTTGCAACCAGCTGTTGTTTTGTTACTCATTGGATTTATAAGGTCCAATTTAGTGTTTTAGGCTTCTAATAGTGCTCGGCTTAATATATCCTTGTGTGCCCATTTTTCTGTTATTGTCTGACCCTTATGGTTAAAAAAAGTAAGCCTGGAATTTCTACCAAATACCAAAAATCACATGATAGGAATTCCAGCAACTTCTGTGAAATTAAATGGGCCTAATTACCTCTTATGGCCCAGTCTATAAAGGTATTGGAAGGGGTAAGATGTAATTTTTTTACTAAAACATGGGCCAAAAGAGTCAGACAGTGGATATGAATAGTAGTGTAAGGACAACTATCAAAGTAGAACCTGGTTGTGCGACAGTATGGAACTGCATGTGAGGGCTAATGTTATGATATTTGATACTGCTAAGGAATTGCGGGATGATGTTCATGAGATGTACCCTTCTGATAGAAATATCTCTCAAATTTATCAACTCTATGGGAGCATGTTTCCTTTATAGCTAGGTGACAAGAGTCTTAGTGACTATTATAGTACACAGACTTTTGTCAACCCGTATCAAATGATGTGGAGCTCCTAAAGAAGCAAAGGGAAGAATTTAGTGTTGTAAATGAAAGTAGGACAATGTGATCTAGTCAAGTATATACAATTGGATTTTTTCTTTTCTTTCTTTTACTCAAACTAGCTAGAACACACAGGTGTTTAAAATTGCAACTTTGTTCATAAAATATACCCTTATACAATCTAGAATCTTCTCTTGCATATCATTGCAATTATTTACAGTTAAACAAAATACAAAACCTCTTGAGAGCATGACATGGGATGTAAGCAATCTCATAACACAAGCAATAACACAGGTACCATCTAGTCTAGGGCGTGCCACCCTCTAGTGGCTTAGGCATGCCCCCCTTAGGGTTTACTATAGGCTCAAAGCAACTCAAAACCCTAACTAGAAGAGAGAAATGAGAGAGAGAGAGAGAGAGAGAGAGAGAGAGAGAGT